CAGTGTTCAAGGCGCACTACGTTGCTGGAGGCTTCAGCCAACATGAGGGTGTTGACTTCTTTCAGATCTTTGTCCCAACCCCGAAGATGACCACTCTTCGTGCACTGCTACACTTAGCAGCACAACGTGACTATGAGCTGCACTCTCTCAACATCTCAACCGCATTTCTTCAAGGCAGTTTGCACGAGCAGGTCTACCTGCGTCGCCCGCCAGGCTTCACTGGCACCTTCGCCTCGGGGACCCTGTGGCACCTCCAGTGCCCGGTTTACGGCCTGTAGAAGGTGTCTCTTGAGTGGCACGACAAGCTGCGTGCTACGTTAGCTCACCTGCAGTTCTTCCCGTGCAGACCCCTCACTCTTCCTTAGTGCTCGCCAGACCTCGTTCTACATCCTTTTCTACCTAGACGACCTGGTCTTCACTACTGCAAGCAGAGACGCACTGGCCTTCGTGCAGGCTCAGCTACTGAGGAGAAACACCCACACTGACCTAGGAGAGCTGCGCCACAACCTTGGCCTGCAGATCTCGAGGGACAGAACAGCGCGCACCATCACTCTCACGCAGTCACACTTGGTGCGCCATGTCCTTCACATCTTCGGTCCTCCGTACAGCCCACACCTCTTTCTGTAGATCACAAGCTCTCGGCTCCAGTCCCTGAGGAGTGTGTAGAGTCTGGTGGTCCGTACGTAGAGCTGGTGGGTTGCCTCATGTACATGATGACTTTCACTCGTCCAGATCTCGCATACCCTCTCAGCATCCTGACTCGCTTTGTGGCCACAGGTAGACACCGACCACAGCACTGGTCCGCCGCTAAGAGGGTTTTGCGTTATCTAGTAAGTACATTGGGCATGGGGCTAGTGCTAGGAGGACACAAGCCAGTGGTCCTTACAGGGCACACAGGCGCTTCGTGGGCAGACGACGCTGAGACCCTGACGTCCTCCCAGGGCTACTGCTTTAGCCTTGGTGCAGGCGCCGTCTCGTGGCGGTCCACCCGTTCGCCGTCTGTTGCCCAGTCTAGCTGTGAGGCTGAGATCTACGCTAATGCCATGGCGGCATAGGAGCTGCGCTAGCTGATTTTCTTGCTCACCGACTTAGGTGAGCGGCCTAGCTCTGCCCCAGTCCTGGACGCTCACAACAGGGCCATGATTCCCCTGTGTTAGTGATAAATGTGTAGTATTCTGTGGTGTAGTTTGCTCTAGCTGGTTGTGGGCTATTGGGTTTTGGGCAAAAGGACTTGGGTTGGTTAGCAAGGTTTGAACTCGTTACCCTTCCAACCCATACAACCTCAAATCCACTACATCTTTGATGTTGCAGTCATGGCCCTTGAGAGTGTTGGGGTTTGGTCTAGGGCAAGGGTTGGTGGTGTTTGACAATCAAATACTGCAACTTTTCCAGATCGAACTGCTTCCCTTCTCGTTTTTACTAGGTGATTCATGGCTGCCTAGCCAAATTACCAGAATACCCCCTCACACTGATTTCGTCATAATCGGCGGCTCAAATCTTGGTTATGAACGTGCTTTACCATTCTGGAAATTAAAGATTAAGACCTTTCCAACGCGTATAAGCTCATTTCTAGAAGTTACCTGAGCAGCACGCAATGATCCGTTGAGGTCGTCAGACTTAATCTCTAATTAGTTCTCTCCAGATTTGCACGATTTCCATCAGTGGTATCAGAGCCACGGTTAGAGGACCTTCTTTCCTCCATTGGAAGAGATCTAGAGAGGCTTGAAGTGCTCCAGATCTAGGGTTTGACATGGCCCAAAAGTTGGATGGCCCTCCTAGGTTTACCGGCTCGGATTTTTCGCTATGGAGGTTCCAGATCACACTATGGCTAGGTATTAAGGACCTAGAAAGTGTGTTGGATGGATCGGAGAAGCGACCACGAGCTGACTCTGGGGAGGCGTCTACTGGAGCAACCAGCCAAGTGGGATCCGGGGCTGGGGGAGCATCGTTGAGTGGGGGGAACGAAGGAGGAACCGCTGCAACTCGAACCAGAAGGTCGCAACCAAGTCGCGAGGAGTTGCTCAAAGCTCAAGAAGCATGGGATCGGAAGGATCGCCAGGCATTTCAGTACCTGTGTTGGGCTTTGGAGGGGCAACTTGAGCTTCTTAAGATGCTGATTGACCTGAAGGGGAAGGAAGGTGCAGCAGCTGCAGCTTGGAAAAGAGTGCAAGATAGGCACTTACAGAATGGGCTTCTAAGCGTGCTTACTTGGCGGAAGCGGTTTTACACCATGGAGCGGAACTATGGGGAGGGGGAGACCATGGTTCAGTATCTCCAGAGGGTGGATGAGAATGTGAGGGCTTTGGAGGAGCTGGATTACACGGTAGATGAGAAGAAGATCATCTATACTGCACTCCAAGGGTTGGATCAAGCGACTAATGAGGCATTACTACAGTACCTTCACCTCGAGCAACAGAAATGGACCAAGGTGTGGATTTGGGAGGTTCTAATTTCTGATGAGGCTCGCAAGGTTGATGCTGGAAGAGGCCTAGAAGGAGGCATGGGTGCAGCAGATAAAGCTTCCTTCAGGAAAGGCTATCAACAGCAAGGAGGTGGGGGGAAGAAGAAAGAGTTGGACAAATGCCTTGTGCCCGGATGCAACAAAAAACACTCTTGGAAGAGTTGCTGGAGTAGGCCTGAGGGATGGAAGCCTCACGGCTACTCTGGAGAGGCCCCACCAGTGACCAAACCTGATTGGGTGGAGAAAAGGATGAAGAAGGGGCTCTGGAATAAGAAGGGCAGCAAGGGAGCAACGGCGGCAGCTGCTAAGGATGAGAAGGGGAAGGGCCAAGACGACTCCTCTGATGATGGTTTCTCGTTTCTCATGCTAGGGCAGGATGATCTCTCGCTGGTCGTGCATTGGCTGATCCCAACTTCCTGGTTCTAGACTCTGGAACAACATCTGGGATGCTTCCTCGCCGTGATCTCTTCACCTCCTACCATCCTCTCCCACCAAACTCTAGGAGAGTGATTGTTGGGAGCGGAGATTTGCTGCAGGCAATTGGCATCGGCACGATCACCATTAAGGGGAAGGAGGGGGAGCTAGTGGGTGTGAAGGGGGTCCTTCACGTCCCTGGTTTGGCTGCAAACCTCCTTTCATGCTCGCAGCTGGCTAAACAGGGATACATCTGCACTTTCACTGAGGGAGGGTGCACTGTTAGAAAGGGTGAAGCTGTGGTGATGGAGGCAAAGCTGGACAAGGGTTTATACCTTGTTCCAGCTTGTGTGCCTAATTGTTACAAGGCACATATGGTTTTTTCTGAGGAAGCCGCTTGTAGCACTCGCTGGAGGCAGGTGGAAACGGTGTCACCTGAGTTGCTACACCTTCGCATGGGGCACGCGGGGAAGCAGCAACTACTGGAGTGTGTGAAGAAGGGGGAGATGAAGGGGGGGAAGGTCAAGGAAGGAGCTGGGCAGCAGAGAAAATGTCCTGACTGCACATCTGGAAAGCTGCCTAGAACCTCATTCCCTATCTCATCTGATCATGCCTCGACTCCCCTTGAGCTTGTGCACACGGATGTGTGTGGACCGATGCAAAATCCTGACCGGGAAAGGGGCAGCAGGTACTTTGTCACCTTTCTTGATGATTTCAGTCGACTTAGCTGGGTCATCTTGGTGAAGACCAAGGATGAGGTGGCAAAGGTGTTTAAGCGGTGGATACGCTATGTGGAGAGGGAATCAGGGGCCAAGGTAAAGGTGTTAAGGTCAGATCGGGGTGGAGAGTACCTTGGGAAAGAACTTCAAATCTTCTTGGAAGAAAAGGGTATTTCCCACCAGCTCTCTGTACCTTACACGCCGCTGCAAAATGGGGCAGCGGAGCGGCTTAACAGGACCTTGACCGATTTGGCTCGGGCCATCCTTGCCCATGCCGAGCTTGATAACACTTGGTGGGGGGCAGCAGTGCAGTATGCCAACTGGGTGAAGAGCAGGATGGGCAGCAAGGGGCTTGGAGGCAAGAGCCCATACTCCTTATGGACAGGGAAGGTGCCGAATGTTTCCATGGCACGAGTGTGGGGGTGCATGGCTCAGTATAAGGTTCCTGACCAGCAAAGGAGGAAGCTAGATCCTAAGGCACAGTGGGGGATTTTCCTTGGGGTTTCTGAGAGGAGCAAGGCTTGGGTGCTATGGAGTGTAGCTGACCAGCGTGTGATGGAGAGCCGTGATGTGATTTTCCATGAGGGGCTGAATTATAAGGGGTGGAAGGAGCGTGGTGCAAGCCATAGTGGGACTTCCATTCAAGACCCTCATACGGCCTCTATCTTTGAGGGGGCATGGGAGGACCCTGGAGATGAAGGGGAGGAGCAGCAGGAGGAGCCAGAACCAGCTGATTCTAACCATGAGGAGTCCCGAGAGACAGATTCTACCCCTCAGCCAGCCACGCAGGCCGATGCGCATGATGATCAGCCGGAGCAGCATGTGCCTTCAACTTCATCGAGAAGCAATTGGCAGGAGTTGTTGGACCAGCAGCTGTCCAAGACTCCGAGGACTCCAATGAAGAGGGTGACTTGGGAGGAGAAGCTGCGGAGGCTGGAAGAAGGAGAGGCAACACCTCTGCGACGCAGTGCTCGAATTTCCCAGCCACCTGAAAGGTTTACCCCGGGGCACATTGCACGCATGCATGATCATCTTGTGTCTGATTTGGATGATTGCATGCTTGTGGACATGCATGGGCATGAGTATGCTCTTGATGTGAGTCTAATGGGTCAGGTGCATGAGCCTAGGTCAGTCCACGAGGCGCTGAACCATCCAGAATGGGTTGAGTCCATGCATGAGGAGCTTGAGTCTCACAAGGTAAATGGATCATTTGAGCTGGTTGATCCAGCAGTGGTACCACCTGGTTTGGAGGTCCTCAGGTGTCAATGGGTTTGGAAATACAAGCATAACCCTGATGGTACCGTTGAGAGGCCTAAGTCCAGATTGGTAGTGATGGGAAACATGCAGAAATTGGGAGTACACTTTGAAGAAGTGTACTCTCCAGTTGGGAAGCATGCGAACTTGAGAGGTATGCTTGGAATTTCGGCTGCTTTGAAGCTTGATATCCATCATATGGACGTCAAGACAGCCTTCCTCCATGGGGATTTGGAAGAAGAGCTTTACATGCGGCAGCCTCCTGGTTTTGATGATGGGTCTAACCGAGTGTGTCGCCTCAAAAGGTCCATTTATGGGCTGAAGCAAGCCCCACGACAGTGGTACCTGAAATTTGATCAGGCTCTCATGGATTTTGGGTTTGAGAGATCTGAGTGTGACCCTGCCTTGTACCACTTTGTGCGAGATGAGGAGAGGATCTCCTTATTCCGCTATGTGGATGACCTTTTGCTCCTATGCTCTAGTAAAGTTCTGTTAGATCGAGTGAAAGACTTCTTGTCCTCGCGTTTTCGCATGAAGGACTTGGGGGAGGTGAAGTACTACTTGGGAATGCAAATTGAGCGTGATGAGATTGGTATCTTGATTCATCAAGAGAGGTACATTCTTAACATGCTTCAGTCCTTTGGTCTTTCAGAGGCCAACCCCGTGCGTACTCCTCTCCCAACAGGCTTTGATGTGCATGCCTATGAGGATGAACCTTTGCTGCGAGATGAGCTGGTCAAGCTCTACCAAAGCATTGTGGGATCCCTCATGTATGCTTGTACTACCACAGCCACAGATTGCATTCGCAGTCTCACAGCTATCTAAGGTCGCCTCTTGTCCTAAAATGTTCCACTTGCAGGACGCTAAGAGAGTGCTGAGGTACCTGAAAGGTGGTGTCAAGTCAGGTATCTTCTTCCAAACACAGCCCCAATATCAGGTCCAGCTGGTTGGCTTCAGTGATGCCGACTATGCTGGAGATTCCGCAAGTCGCAAGAGCCACAGTGGGTATGTGTTCCGCCTGAATGGGGCAGCTATCTCTTGGCAGAGCAAGAGGCAGCCCGTGGTGGCACTCTCTACCACTGAGAGTGAGTACATAAGTCTGTGTTAGTGCATTCAGGAGGGTGTGTGGCTGAGGCGTTTGTTTGGGGAGTTTGGCCATGCTCATGCTGGTGGTGTGCCTGTGTTTGTGGACAATCAGTCTGCCATTGCCCTTGCACAGAATGCATGCTTGCATGGCCGCACCAAACACATGCAGGTCCGGTGGCATTTCATTCGGGAGATGGTGGCTGCGGGAGAGGTGATTTTGCAGTGGTGCCCCACCAACCGTCAGGCTGCTGATATCCTTACCAAGTCACTTCCATTTGAGCGCCATGGTGTGTGCATGACCTTGCTCGGGATGCAGCCCCATGATGACAGGGTTCCCGCAGCAGATGCCGGCGTCTTGGTGCTCCTCTCCTTGGCGGACTCCATGCTCTGGGTGGCTCCAACCCATGAGCAAGGGGGAGTGGTGTGAAGTCTTTTGCCCTATGGTGTTGAGCCACACCCAGCATGAGCAAGGGGGAGTGATAAATGTGTAGTATTATGTGGTGTAGTTTGCTCTAGCTGGTTGTGGGCTATTGGGTTTTGGGCAAAAGAACTTGGGTTGGTTGGCAAGGTTTGAACTCGTTACCTTTCCAACCCATACAACCTCAAATCCACTACAACATCTTTGATGTTGCAGTCATGGCACTTGAGAGTGTTGGGGTTTGGTCTAGGGCAAGGGTTGGTGGTGTTTGACAATCACATACTGCAACTTTTCCAGATCGAACTGCTCCCCTTCTCGTTTTTACTAGGTGATTCATGGCTGCCTAGCCAAATTACCAGAATACCCCCTCACACTGATTTTGTCATAATCGGCGGCTCAGATCTTGGTTATGAACGTGCTTTACCATTCTGGAAATTAGAAATTAAGACCTTTCCAACGCGTATAAGCTCATTTCTAGAAGTTACCTGAGCAGCACGCTATGATCCGTTGAGGTCGTCAGACTTAATCTCTAATTAGTTCTCTCCAGATTTGCACGATTTCCATCAGTTAGAAACCTCGACTGGAGGGCAGAGCGAAGCACATCCGGCTGCAATACTTCCTCCTGCGCGAGCTACAGCAGCGTCGCCAGGCCCGCGTAGCACACTTGGCCTCCGGTGCCAACACAGCTGATATCTTTACTAAGGCGCTTGCGCCTAAAGATCATTAGCGGGACTGTGTACAGCTTGGTCTAGTTCCTGTAGCTTCTCACTTGCTAGGACCTTGATTGTGTACTATTTTTATATTATCTTGATTGGCCTTGTGGCTCTTGTCCCAGTGGCTGGACTAGTAGTACCGCCCTGACTTGCTCTTGTCTTGTTTGTACTCTTGTTAACTGGTCTTTGGACTAGTAGTGCCACCCTGAGCAGTGTGTCTCTTGCCAGGCACTGCCCCTTATCTAGCCTAGGGGGTGTGTCAAACATATTGTGGAAATGTATTTTAGGCTAGATAGGTGTGTATGTCACATTATATCTTTCATATATATGTATATATATATATATATATCTTTGTTTAGGCTTGATAGGTGTGCTACATTGCTGGATCCTACTGTAGAGGGGACAACCCCCCCTTCTTGTATCTCTTCCTCTTCTAGTCCACGTCCCTTTTCTCTCATAACTCTTCCCCCCTAGCTAAACCTCTCGACATTCTTCTATGCCTAGCTACTTCTAGGCTTCACCTTCTCTAAACATGGTTTCAAAGCAGGCCCTTCTGCTCGGTCCTTCTCCTCACACTTCCGCAGCGTACTCTCCTCCCACCTGTCACTTCCACGCCGCCGTGGCAGCCATGTCGTGCTGCCATGGTGGCTTAGTCGTGCTGCCCTGGCAGCCTCAAAGCGCTGCCATGGTGTCAACGCTGCGCCGTAGCGGCGTCGTCGTGCTGCCGTGGCAGTGTTGACGTGTTGCCGTGGCATCGACGCCATGTTGTGGGAGTGTCGTCGTGCTGCCATGGCATCGTCGACGTGTCATCGCATGGGTGGCAGCGGGCCGCGCAATGTTTTAGGCGCTAGCCGTATGCCCCCACGACAGCCAGCGGGCCAGCCAGGGCACCTTGCTGAAGCCACACCCTTGCTCACCCGCGCCACCCCTCATTCCAGTTGCAACTGATGATTCTCTTCCCGGTCGTCGCTGGGTTGTGCCACACCGCCGGTTGCCGCGAGCTTAGCAGTTGCCGCCCCCGTCGTCGAATCTGCCGCCGCCGATCCAGATAAAGCTGGCTCCGCCGCAACCCGCTCCGCCGCCGCCGCTGTCGTTGTCGTTGAAGCTGCCGCAGATGCCTTTACTGCCTCCCACTGGGGGTGTCACTGCTTCGCACGAGGGGTAGACGCCACAGCTGCTAAAGGGCATGGGGGTGCAAGGGTTTGGGGGTGTTGTGTGTTGGGTGGGCTTTCGACCACCAAGCCTAGGAGGTGTGTCACATTATATATATTTTATACATATATTTGTTTAGGCTTGGTAGGTGTGCTCCATTGTTGGATCCTATTGTAGAGGGGACAAACCCCCCTTCTTGTATCTCTTCCTCTTCTCGTCCACGTCCCTTTTCTCTCGTAACTCTTCCCCCCTAGCTAAACCTCTCGACATTCTTCTATGCCTAGCTACTTCTAGGCTTCACCTTCTCTTAACAGCGTACTCCTAGAGGGTACAACCCCTTAGACAAAACCACCTTGTTTGCCTCATTCTATTCATTGATTCGAAATTGGATAATAGGTACTGTACAAACGAGGATTGAGCAAGAACAAACCCTAGCAAGGGTGTATTCGCGCTGCCCCATAAAGCTAACGAATAACAGGTCAGCACCGTTACTGACCTATCAAGGTAGGAGCACTAAAAATGTAACTTAAATTTACCATGATACAAAAATACAAAACTACTTCATTTAGCACGTTGAAGCATTCCTACAAATTGAAGTGGTTATGTGACTTCTTTGCGTTACCTATTTTAAATTATATCCACATGTCAGATGACATCTCTTCTACCATTTTCTGCGGTTCAGGGGGGGGCGACATTCGGCTCAATGTGACACTTGCTCAGTCCACAAACTCAATGTGCAAAATCGATGGGACAAGCTGCCGGCTCGAGCCTGGGCATGAGATGTGTTACAGTGTGGTGTTGCGAGAATGAGAAATTCGCGACCAACCAAAAAACACGAAAATAAACAAGCATAGTAACCCAATGAAATTTTGGGAAACCAAGGTTCAGCTGTAACACGGGTAACGCAGCGTTGGCGACATAGATTTTTTTCTTCCGCGCGCCGATTTGGTCGCCTGTGTGATGTCGTGGGACTGGGATAGCTCTGTCAAACCTCTACTCTCTCTAGGGAGGGTACTAGGGAGGCTTTCCCTTGGGAAGGTGGATATATGAAGCCTTCATCTCCTGAGAACATCCCTTCTTGTCCCAATGGTTAGGACTGGTGACTCTAACATGGTTTCAGAGCAAGCCCTTCCACTCGGGCCTTCTCCTCACGCTTTTGCAGCGTCCTCTCCTCACTTCCGCGCCGCCGTGGCAGCCATGTCGTGCTGCCATGGCGGCTTCGTGGTGCTGCCGTGGCAACCTCAACGCGCTGCCGTGGCGACGGCGTCGTGCTGCCGTGGCAGCGTTGACGTGCTGCCGCGGCAGTGACGCCGTGCCGTGGCGGCGTCGTTAAGCTGCCGTGGCGTCGACGACGAGCGGCAGTGGGCCATGCAATGTTTTAGCGCCGGCCAGCTCGCCCGCACGCCAACCAGCGCTATGACACCATGGCTCCTCGCTGCAGCCCCGCCCCCCCCCCTCCTCTCCATTTCCCTTAATCCCCGCCACAGCCGATGGCTGTCTCACCCATGCGGCGCCGTCGTTGCTGAACCAGGCCACGTCGCTGGGTGTCGCGGTCTCCGTCGCCACCGCCGTCATTGTCGAAGCCGCCGCCAATGCCGCAGGTGTTGCTGGCTCCGCCGCCACCAACTGTCGCAGCCACCGTTGTCGTCATACCATTGTCGCCGCCGCCAACGCTGCCCCCGCCGCTGACAAAGCCGCCTTGCACGTCAAGAGGTCGACCGGGCTGACGAAGCCACCGCTGCTGCACGGCATGGGGGTGCAAGGGTGTGGGGTTACTGCGTGTGGGGGTGGGCTTGCCACTACCGAGCCTAGGGGGTGTGTCAAATCATATATATATATTATATATGTTTGTTAGGCTTGGTAGGTGTGCGACATTGACATTGCTAAATCCTACTGTAGAGGGGACAACCCCACCTTCTTGTATCTCCTTCTCTTTCTTAGTGTCTCTCTTTTCTCTCGTCAACTTTCTGCCCCCAAGCTGAACCTCTCGATCTTTTCATGGCTACCTTCCTAGCTATCTAGCCTACTTTTACATGGTTTCAGAGTCATAAAGTCACCAGTCCTAACCACTAGGAAAAGAAGGGATGTCATCAATAGGGTTAGGCTCCATATATCCACCTTCTTTGGGGAAAGCCTCCCCAGTACCCTCCCTAAAGAGAGAGAGGATCGACAAGGTTATCCCATTGCCACAACACACCCCCCTGCTGGGATAGCGTGTACACCAGGAATTGAACCCTGGATAGCTCTGATACCAAGTCATAAGTCACCAGTCCTAACCACTGGGACAAAAAGGGATGTCATCAGGAGGGTAAGGCTCCATATATCCACCTTCCCTAGGGAAAGCCTCCCCAGTACCCTCCCTAGAGAGAGAGAGAGGATCGACAGGGTTATCCCAGCGCCACGACATTCAGGGCATTGGTGACTCAGGTTCAATTTCCAGTGCTAGCGCTATAGAGGCGCCCATGTCATCCACCTATCCCAGCGAGGGAGGGTGTCGAGTAACCAGCTGGGGTTACCCTTGAAAGGATCCTCGGGGAAGAGCCACAGGTGTAGAGCCTGGGGGGCTATGGGCGCACTGTGTTAGAATCCTAGGACAAATACAAATGAGATAGAACAAGGGAGATATAGGGTTTGGGTTGTACTCTCTAAGAACACACACCTATTATAGCCTATAACTTCTACATGCACAAGTATGTATAAGTTGACACACCCCCTAGGCTAGATATGGGGTTGTGTTGACCAAGAAGAACACAGCTTAGGGTGGCACTACTAGTCCAACCTCTCAGGCAAGGGTCCGAAGACCAGTCAACAAGAGAACAAACACGACACGAGCAAACCAGGGCGGCACTACAACTCCGACCACTGGAGGAGAAGCCACAAGGCCAGTCTGGAACAAATATATAAGAGGAGTACACAATCAAGGTCCTAGCAAGTGAGAGTCTACAAGAACTAGACCGGAGGCCAAGCGAACTACACGGGCCTAGCGACGCTGCTCTATCTCGCGCAGGAGGAAGTACCGTAGCTGGATGTGCTTTTCTCTGCCCTCCAGTCGAGGCTCCTGACACAGGAGGATCATGGCCCTGTTGTCAGCATACAGGACCGGGGTAGGGCTAGGCCGCTCACCTAAGTCGGCGAGCAAGGTCAGCCAGCGGAGCTCCTGTGCCGCCATGGCATCGGCGTAGATCTCAGCCTTACAACTAGACTGGGCAACAAACAATGAGCGAGTGGACCTCCACGAGATGGCACCCGAACCAAGGCTAAAGCAGTAGCCCTAGGAGGACCTGAGGGTCTCAGCGTCGTGTGCCCAAGAAGCGTCTGTGTGCCCAGTAAGGACCACCGGCCTGCGTCCTCCTAGCACTAGCCCCAAGCCCCATGTACTCGCTAGATAACGCAAAACACTCTTAGGGGCCGACTAGTGTTGTGGTCAGTGTCTGCCTGTGGCCACAAAGTGAGCCCAGATGCTGAGAGGGTATGCTAGATCTGGACGAGTGAAAGTCATCAGGTACATGAGGCAACCCACCAGCTCTGCGTAAGGACCATTGGGCTCTACTG